GTTCATTCAGAATGTGTGCCACAAGAGATGCTGCCATCACACTGGCACAGGAATACCAATGCTGAGAAGCCAACTGAGAGCCATCTGCATAATCAGCTATTCCTTTCACAATTAACCACTCAATTTCACAATCAAATGCTGCTGCAAATACTCCTGTAGGAAAACAAAACAAACAGAACATTAGTTTTAAGACAGTCCTGTGTACATGCACAAAAAAAATTTTGTGGACCTCAGAGACATCATTCAGCTGCTATTGCTTTAGCACACCTCTAAAAACATACAAATAGAATTAAACTATTTACATTACGCATCAAGTTAAAGTAAAGTTAAGATTAAAGTTTATGGAGTTTTAAGGGTACAAGTCTACTCCTATTCTATGAGAAGTTACCTTAAAGAAATGTAAGGTACAGTGGGCTAGGGTGGTTTTTTCCCATAGAAATCTCTTAAATTTAAATCAGTTTAAATCAATCACAACTACACAGACTATAAACCAAGAACTGAACAAATTTTCAGAGTATGGAAAAATAACAGCAGCCATTTTTGCTTAAAAGGTCTGTAATGTGTAATATCAAAACTCAAAGATGAGTGATGGCGAGGTGCCTGCAAGGCTTGTGGACCCAAAATGCTACCAAGTGCAGCACATAACCTTGACAACCCTTTGAGTGGCATCCACACTGGCGCCATCTCACTGCTTACCAGTGGAACATTAGGGTCGCATACTTAACATAATAACTTACTAAAGGGAGGGTGGGGTAAGGAGCAGAACATTTTACAAGCATCAGCAATGTTTTACAAAAATAATGGCATGACCTTGACAGAGAAGTTTTAAATTCCTAAAGTCCCCTGTGGGGTAATTCAAGAATCAACCTCATACAAAAGGCTCCTGGCCAGCAAGGTGTTGAATTTATTTAATATTTTATGCTTTCTTTCCACCTCAAGTAAAGCTCTAAATTTTAATGTCATTACCATTCTTTAAACCCAAATCATGCTGATTCATGAAGAAAGTTAAGGAAAAAAAGATTTACCTTTTATGGAAGGTTTCAGTTAACTTTGTATATGTTGTGCAGGTTCAATAATTATTATTTTGTCCTTGGTCTGTATTTTATTTTCCATTATTTTGGAGTATGGTGATGTATGATAATGAGTTTCCGACAAAGAAAAATAAAATTTAAACAAAGTATAAAGGTGAGCCATAACCTATAAATGGAATATGTCTTTCCAAAAAATATCCATAACTTCTCCACGGATAATCAGTGGAATTTCCGTGGGGGAGAGGGAGGAGGATTAAAATGCCAAAAATTTTAAAGGGTAGGGGATGGTTTATAAGAAATAATTTTTCCAGAGGGTCAGGCAAGACTTGCAATAATCAAACATGTACAGTGTACTTACGTATAATTATTATGTTGTAATGACAAACAAAAACAACAGTTAACTTACCTTCCCCTTCGTTTTCCATTGCTATTGCCTGAGGATTGGTTTCAGCAAGTTGATCACGTCGCTGTCCAGAAATGACTTCTTCTGGTCCACTCAGAAACTCAGCAGCAGTATGTACTTGAACTTCTTGTTGAGCATTAGCAACATTCTTCAAAGGTGCTTTCCAGCCATCAGCACAATTCTTAATGACATTCAGGAAACGTTTGCTCACATAATTTCTCATGCCAGTTGAATGTTCTTGATTATCAATCACCACTTTGGATGCATATGTTGTTAATTTGGCAGAAACAACAACATCTCCTAACTTGGATTTCTCAGGGTGAAGACCACTACATACACCAACAGATATGACTGCTTTAGGCCTAAGCAGAGTGGCAGCATTCTTAACAGAGACGAGAGAACCACCAGGACAACTACTGTTCTCGTAACATTTAAATAATGCAACTTTAACTTTATCTTGACTTCCATCCACATCAGAAAAGTAAACGTAGCCAAGACCATCAAACCAACATCTATAGGGTTTTTTTAGCTCACTGAAACAAGCTACAAATTCACAATTCTTCACTGTCAGCAACAAAACATCAACAGGAAGATCAGCATGTTTTGAAGGTCTGGTTACTGCCTTAATGTCAGCCAAGGATGGGAGAACTTTGTTGAGCTCTGGAGGGTCCCTAATGGATTCTTTTAGAGTCCTTTCTTTTCTTTCTCTTTTTCTTTTCTTCTTTCTCTTTCTTTTCGATGTAGTTCTTTGGTTCTTTGTGTTGCTTGCAGTATTCTTTGATGAACTAGACAGGAGACCAGCCGTAATCTGGTGAGTGTTGCCATGACTGCCCTCTGAACTGTTAGGTGTATCCTCTGAAGATTTTAAAATTTTGGATTCTGATCAGAGGAGGAAAAAATAATTAAAAATGAGTTAATAATAATATTATAATAACAATGTGTTGTGTGAGTGGTTCAGTTAAAACACGCCCATGTTGAAAGGCAGTTACAAGTAAACCACCCCCCAGTCTTGTATGTATTACCCAAACAAAATTTGCCCCCTCTCCCAGGGTCTTCCAAGTTTTAACACCACCCCCCCTCCATCCTCCACAACCCCAAAAAAGACGGTATGATTTAAGTTGGTCTTCTTTCTCAGCCTTACGTACAGACATCACATTTCCACTCTCAGCTATAAGTGAACTTATTTTCTAACAACAAACATTACCTTCTTCATCTGAGTCTTCAGCCACATCTCTCTTCCTCTTTATTGCTTGCATGACAGCAGGCTGAAATAACTTCACATAAACTGGAAGCAAAGTAATTATGATCAGTAGCACATTTGTCACAACCATAAGAAAAATAGTTAGCCCATGGCTACAAGTCTACTGACTGCGTAATTTGAAGTTGTATATGTTACAGGTCAAAATTCAATTCAGGTTAAAATATAAACAAACACAACTCCTACAATAATCACGGACACAACGACTTGGCCTAAAAAAAGATTTAGACAAGTTCTGTCCTTTAACTCTTTCATTTCAGTCACAGTTTAAGTATAAATGAGATATGCTGTTTGCTGCTCCTAAGATTTGCCCTTACACACAACGAACTTAACATTATCTAATTTTCTTTCTCTTATAGAAACCTTTTTAACGGGTGCCTTGAAAACAAAGACCCCCTAAGACCCCGAAACTTGAAAACAAAGACCCCCCCATTTTTTATACATATATTTTTTTACGGAAGGGGGAGGGGAGGCCATTCTTGTACAATAATCGGAAAAGTTTAAATTAAAACTTAAAGTCTTCTTTTTGTACTCTCTCTTCTTTTGGTCACTTCCCCCCAAATTGTCTTTTTCTGACAGGAAGGGGTGGAGTTTTAATCTCCCCTGGAGAGCACGAGGTTGACAAACTGACCTCTGTACTGTACTCCCCCTCGCCCTAGTACTCTCTCCTTTCCCTTCCTCCCCCCACCCTAAAAAACTTGTTTTTTCGAGAGGGGTGGGGGGGGGGGAGGGAATTTGAAAATAGACTCAAATATTGAGTAAATCATGTCCCTGGAAATCGATGAGCCATGTTCGGATCTTCTTCGGAAAACTCAAGTGGATCCTACGTCCTTTCGTTTTTGTGACTTTCGTGAAATTTCTTTGATACATGACTTTCAAAAGGCACATTAATCTCTTGGCTTGATTTATCAATCAATCAATTTATTAAAGTCAATGCGTGGGATGAGGTTACCCACCATATCCGAGTAAAACACAAGACAATAAACAAAAACAAAGAAAAAGAAAAGATAATGCCTTTGTTTATTTGTTTTGATAGTTAGTGCTGACTAACTGTCATAAATTTTTATGGAAATCAGAAATATATTATCTTTAAATAGTCGTTCGTCTAACATTTTTTTTTAATGTAGTGTCTTTTTTCACTGACAACTTTTTAATCATCATTGGACATGAAAACGGCATCTTTTCATAGGCATACTTGTCAAATGTTAACAAGGAAATAATATAGGAATAATAATAATATACGAGACAACGCCCAACATAACTTTGAAACGCGCGTTCATATTAATCAAAACACAGACACTACTAGCGTGCACAGTAGCCAAGCTCTTCCTTTAGTTAGAATTTTGACATGTGATGTTAGTAGCTTGTCTTTTGTCGAAGGTGGAACTTCAACAAAAAAGGCGTTGATATGGAAATCGTTTTACCACACAGGACTTTCTGATGCAGTAGTATTTTACAGTTGTTGAAGCACTGGGTAACCACTTGGTTTGGTCCTTGGGGTCAGGGTACATCCAGCACTCCTCGTGTGACAATACAATGTCAAATGGTATTATTTTGGTTCTTCTTAATATGAAACCAGTTTTGCATTTCTGACATTCCGTTGCTTTCAGTGCCTCTTCCAGAAAGCACACTATAAATGGCTTATTATCGTGGCGAATAGTTGGATTAAATTCAACAGGAGCCTGTGTAAGTGCGCGTTGATCTAATGGTTTTCCTGAAAGTGCGACATGGAGGGAGAGCAAGGAGAGAGTACTAAGGCGAGGGGGAGTACAGTATAGCTGTCACTTTGTCAACCTCGTGCTCTCCATGGGAGATTAAAACTCCACCCCTTCCTGTCAGAAAAAGACAATTTTGCAGGGAAGTGAACGGAAGAAGACTTTAAGTTTTAATTTAAACTTTTCCGAATGGCCTCCCCTCCCCCTCCCCACCAAAAAAAAAATATATATATATATAAAAAAATGAGGGGTCTTTGTTTTCAAGTTTTGGGGTCTTAGTGGATCTTTGTTTTCAAGACACCCCGTTTTAACTATGAAATCAGAGATAAGGGCACAAATGAGAGGTTTTTGAGCTTGCTCACTTCAGTACATTGTTACAATATCCGATGGAATGACATCTTATACAGCTTGTATATTCAGATTAAGCAGGGACAACTTATTGTTGAGAAAAAAATTAAACTTTTATCTCATAAAGACATTTACAGCATTATCATCATCTTGCAATATCCTCTGCTACTGATATATGAATATAAATTCATCAAACAGAATTCCCACAAGTCCAAAAAAAAAAAAGAATGTGAGATGATCGGAAAGAATGTTCTACCTTGTCTGGGCTGAAGGCTGACATAGTGTAACTCGTGAATGTGTCCCAACACAAGGGGGGTTGGGTCAGCAACTGAGTGTTCTGGAGGGACAACTATTTCACTATTAAGGCTGCTGATAATACGGATGGGAGTTTGAAAGTAGTTTGCTGCAGCAAGCAGAACCATATGGTCACCCCAGGTACCATCCTTCGCCATGCTTTGTAAGTATTCACGCCATGATGGGTATCCAGAGACAAAGTTAAGCAGAGGTGTTCCTTCGTGCTAAAAAACAAAACAATCAAACAAGTGAATTTTAATTTTTTCGGACTAAGCGGGATAAAAGTGGAGTGATTTTAATCTGCTAGAAAGTTTATTTAAAGTTTATTTAAAAGTGAGTGGATGGCTAGGATGGCCTTTAATACCGATCACTTACTGGGGGTACAAGCGTTAGCAGGGAAGCAAATTTTAAATAAAATAAGAATATTGTGAAAAGGCTATTTTAACTGGGGTGCCAAGAGGTGATCTTTTCTGAGGGGAGAGGGTGACGGCACCCACTCAGGCTACCATAAAACCTTGTCACCGACCACTGCATGACATAGAACCTCATGTGAGAGTGAAACATAAACTCATTTGAACATTGTGTCCTTTTGGAAGATTTTCGTAACAAGAAAAATGCAGGAGTACCATTTTTTAAGTCGGGGCTGTATAGTAACTTTTAAATTCTACCATTATCAAATTTTATAAAAATAACCAAGTTAGCCATTCCAAACAGGAAACGATTAGCATAATTTTCATAAACCCCTCCCTCAATCCCTCTGTCCCCCAAAATTATGGCGTGTGACAGTATGACTATTTTGACCTAACCAGAAATTCCAAAAATTATTGTCATTCTACTGTTAACAAACAGTACATTTCTCAATTCTGGTTCTTAAACTAACAAGGCAAATTAAAATCTAAGTTTTGTTTCTGTCTGAAGCCTTTCAAACTGTCATAGTGAACATGTATACCTCGTAGTTCGATCATTTTGTTCAGATATTGCATGACAACAGTGTTAAATGATTATAACTGCCAGTTTTGAGAGAGACATTGGCTGTCACATTTTAAACCATTTAAACTTCAACATGAAGGGAAGAGAAACCTCGAAAGCGACCCATTCTACCATCTTTTGAAGAAGGCACTGAAAACAAAGCGCCAATGATAGCTTGAGAGACGTCTTGATTCAATGGATATACACACACACACAAGCTTAGAACACACACAAATGCAAAGAGCTTTGCAATCACGTTAACATTTTTTTCTGAAACTTCCCTCAAGAAACTTTCCCAGTTAAACGCGCTATGCAACAATGGTGATCGATGAGGAAACCTACATCATGTAAGAAAACATCAGAGTCACACGGCTCCTTCACTTTGCTGATTGGCCAGAAATTTTTTTTCTGGCCAATCAGAAGCAGGCAATTCAAATGCTTCTGGAACTGATTCGGTAAGAGTAGTGCCCAGGGGCTCTTCTCTTGGCATGATACAATATCTCTTGGCATGATACAATTTAAGGAACATTGAAGTAATTAAGAATAAGACAAGCTGGGTGATATAAGAGTTTAAGTGAAAGATAAAGCTGGAGCTGACTCACTAGTTCTTGAATGGATAGCATGATACATTTAGTTCCTTATCATACGGGAGGAATCCACCAAACAGACATGGAAGGCCTGTGCCAATAATATTATTTTTGTCTTAGTTAGGCTAGTCATCAACCTACCAGATTAGGGTTCTCATCGAGGAACTGAACCAAGGTTTGTCTTAGCTCTTCGTGTGAGATTTGAATTCCTTTGACACTTTGTAGTTGTTCTGATAATGCATGGAATAAACAGTTGCCGGATGCTTGGTTTTCAGAAACAAGGAATCCTTTGTTGGCAGCGATCGCTCTCAGATCAGATGGTAGGTTGGTTTTTTTGCCAACCTGCTCTGCATCACATTGTAAATTTTGTAACGATGGAAAAACATTCCAAGCTGAAAAAAAAAACCACATAATTATTATCAAATTTTCCATTGTTTTGTAGGGGTGTAGTGGTCATGGATATTGATAACTTTTGGGATCCTATTGCAGTGATTAATTTAAAATAATCCTCTGAAATTGACATAACTAGTTTTTTATGATAAGAGAATTAGCAAGATATTAATAATATTATTTGCTTAATCCATAGTTCTCAGTTAACTTGTTGCTTCATTTTGCAGAGCGCAGAGCAGTCTGGTTAGTATCTTGTGTTCTGCTTAAGTGACGTTTCACATACAACACAATGGGGAATGGAAGTGAACGTATTGCACCTTGGGCAGTTGTTACTGTCCAAAACATATTTTTGCAACAAACTGTCTCAATAAGACTAAAAACACTTAGCAATACACTTTTGGTAGTTTCAAGGCACGTCAAAAGGGAAAGGCCTCAAGCCAAGTTGAAAGGTGGCACTGATCAAAAAAGTCTTTGCTTGAGCCCCCTAATGGCTTTCCTCTGAAATATTTAAATGAATAAAATCAACAAAGGAATTTCTTGAATTGGCTTTCATTAGTTTTCTGACAATTTTGGCACTTTTCAGGCATAATGAGATCCAATAATTTGTACATGAAAAGTACACAAATGTGCACATGTTCACACATGCCGCATATTCTTTATTCTTTTCTCTCTCTCCCTCCAACCACTATTTTTGAGAGATTTGAGAACTCTAGAAGTTGAAATGTTCTTGAACTTATGGAGAAAAGGCAAAATCCTAAACCAGTTCGCGGCAGACTGAAGCCTACTGTTTTGCCTTAGCAGTATGTATACATGCAAGTGAACCTACAATGAGAGACAATAGTGTTGAGACACTTCTCAAAAATGGCCCTTTTTTGCATAGTGGACATACCTATCCCCTCCCCTGTCTACCCCAACCCCTTCCCTTCAAAATCAATGTTGTATTTTGGACGCTCAAGTCTTTCTTTTACTTCAGACAACATTGATTTTGGGGGGTGAGGGGATTTATGGCATTCAAAAGGAATGAAATTGTTGATAAAAGCACCCATTTTAAACAAGTGTGTCAACTACTTTTGTCCCTGATTGTAGCTATCGTTCATCCGCGCTTGTGTAAGCCATGGACTTAGAAAAAAGAAAAAAAGACAGATTCAAATGATGTTAACAGTTTTAATGATTAAATCTAACACTTTTGATCAGCAATGCCATTCAACAAGCTTATTATTATTAAGTCATCAGGGATACCTTCAGGGTCTACAGTTGTCCCATCTGTTCGTTGAGAAGTTTCTGAAGAGCTCTGGTTGTCTAAAGAATCATCTGTTGATAAAAAAGAGTAGATAACAACAGGCTGTTTTAGTAAATGCAGATGTATGGAATAATCCCATAAGCCAGTGAACTGGCGATAAAGCAATTATTATGATAGATGGTTTGGGTTAATATTACTTTACTTTGTTTGCTTACATGTAACACAAAACTTAGTATTATAAATCGCCTTTCTTCACGATCTCAGCTGGGACAAAAAGGCAGCGGAATATATTACTCAAATTTGTTTTTGTTTGTTTATTTTCAATTCATATTAGAGCCAACGTTCTACCATTCCTTTTGCAATCTGTTAAGAATATTTTTTTTTCATAAAAAGAAAATTGGCATTCATACTGTACACCCAACTGATCATCGTGTCAATGAGATCTTTTATCTGTTTGGCCCAGTTGTATTTGATGCTATAGGATTCACGCAAGGTTTCTGCTTGCTCAAGCCGACGAGTCGAGGACAGAAAACAAAAGATTCACCCATAACTGATTTCTCGATAATTTTACAAAGACATACAGCTGTAACACAACACAGCATGGTTATATTTGCACAGGCGACTGTATGCTCGAAACAAGACCAATTTACACTGAAATGAACCAACCCACACTTATAACACTAGGTGTCAATCATCTTTTATAAATCCAAGCTTTAAGGGTAACATCTACGCGAACAGTTTCTTCCCGAAAACCATAAAAGATTGGAAGCCTCTAGCATTAAATATTAGGAAGATAGAGACATTTTTAAATGCACTGTTTGGGAACAGATTTTATTTTCTAATTACATAATTCTATTTATTTGATTACCTGATTAATTAATTAATTTTATTTATTTGTTTTTTATTTCTTTTTATTTATTTATTTCTTTTTTTATTATTTACCTTGGCGCGATGGGCAACCTTTGCCAAGTATAGGTATAGGAATAGGTATAGAAATAGAAATTCAAGTTATATAATTATATGAAGGGAATGTTTCTTCAAGGACATCTGTATCAAGCTTCATTTCCTCAAGTAAAGTTTCAAATGCCTGCTCCAAATGCAAACAAACAGCTAATGTACTCGTAAACAATCAAAAGCATGTTATTTTGTAACGCCAAATGATTTTGGGCTTATCTGGCCTGGCTTGATAAAGATCAGCTGTAACATACACGTCCGTAAAATGACTAATCTTTTGCTTTGAAATTGCATTCAAGATCCTTGAAAACTTCAGAGAAACAAAGTTTTTTTTCTAGTATGAAATTTAGCATGTTCTCTAAAGTTTGAGGTAATCTTTTGTAAAATTCGGCTGCTTTTTTCTGCGACAGAACATGATACACATGAACTTTTTCATTGCCTAGCACATGACTAAGTACGTCCACGGTGAGATAAAAAAAGATTTTAAATTTTACCTGCCTTTTAAACATGGCATGTTGTTTGGATAAATCACTTTAAGGCTAGAATAGACATTTTGGCAACATTTCTCAATTTAAAACTTATAGGCGGTGGAGCAGGTGGGACTTACATCTTGCTGCCAAAAAACACTATTAGGGATGTATTTGACATTTCCTGTGACATTGGTGACTTCAGAGCACACATTTTCTGCCCTCAGATGACTCAAGAACTACCTGACAACAACTACTGTACATGACGGAGGGTTGAACAACTGCCTACAGATGCATTGTCACAAATAGATTATGGACACACTAGACACTGTGAAAGGTTTACACTAGACATTGAAGACTGGATAGAAGTTTGCTTGTGCCAACTAAAATCGTCAAGGGTATTTTGGAAAATTTGAGTAGGGGTATACACATGGCCGAGTGAAAATCTTCAAATTGATAGCTCGTTCTTTGCATCCTACAGGACGCATACCATGAATGATTTTGCGTCTTTGAGGATTTTTATGATTCAGGGACGCAGGACGCAGAGGAAACAAAATCACTGGTTACTAATTATTGAATTTCTTCTTTTGCTGTGTCCATGGATATACTTACTGACTGATAAATATATTTCAAAAACTTGTTAATAATTCATAAAAAAAAACAAAAGAAATTAATGTTTAATGCGTGTCTTTATAGCTGATAAAGACACGGCTTAACTTTACGTCCAATTTCTTTAGACCAAAATAACCCCAAACCTAGATATTAGTGCAAGAATGAGTTTATGTCAGAGATTTTGAAGCTGTTCAAAAAACATGCAGTCATGTATTATCAGGTTTAAAAACTATTGGCTTCGCCTCGAGTTTATAAACCTGATAATACACTCCTACTCGTTTTTTAAACAGTACATAAAATTTAAATGTTAAAATCCTAAAGTTTCAGCTAAAACTTGGCCTTCTTTTTGCCTCGATCCATGTAAATAGCCCCTAACAAAAGGTTCTCTTAAGGCTGGTCCACATGCAAAAGTTTTTTTTTAAAGAACAAATCACTCACTTGCTTAAAAATGAGTGGGTTCTTCCAACATCCCAGCAATTATGACCAAGGTTGCAATAGCCTTACATTGTACAGTGAGTGATCATATTTTCACTTTTAGCTTTAGGTATAGGAGGGGTGACCCGAAAACACTGACCCCGGGTCCATGGACCCCCCTACGGACCGGGTCCATGGACTACCTTGCGGACCGGTCAGCGGACCCCCTCTACGGACCCCCTTTAAAACGCATTAAAAAATAAAAATAAACATTTGACTTTTAAACATATTAAACTGACCGTGTGCATGTCGTGTCGGCGAAAATTCGAACGCTGACTTAGACTTCCGCAGAATTAATACAGATCTGTAATATTTTGTAAATATTGCGAGGATCGGTCGAACTTCGTTCGTGTTGTTTGTGTCATTTGTGCCTCCGCCATTTTGCTCGGCCTAGTCTCCCACGTTCGCAATCACGAACTCGACCCAGGCTTCACGAAAAACCACGCGACTTCTCTCCTGCGCCATGGCTGCACGGTAAGATTCTTGAATATTAATCACCTTTATCCTTTTGTTTTTTGGGGCCATCTGCATTTATTTACACCTAGAACCGATTGCAAACATATATTTATTCCTTTTAGGAGAAAGGCGGATGTTTTTGAAATATCAAGTGATGGGGTGAGTTGATTTTAAACGATGCACTGGTTAGCCACAAATATCCGATTTTAAAATCAGTAAATAATACTTTTCGAATACTCCCCCCCCCCGGGTCCTGACCCTTCATAAAATACCTCCCTAATGCAGGACAAGCCCTGCCTCAAAGGCTAATATCTAGCACTGCACTGAATGTTAGTACAAGGCAGTTCCTCTTATATGCCACTCATGGAGGTGTGCCCCTGGTTTTTTCTCGCATGGTTTCTTGTTCATAATGTAATGTTGTTCAAAGTAATCGAATAGCTTAAACAAATTTGCTCATAACAAAACAGACCATAATCTTTATAATCCATAATCCAGTTCAAGGGTTTTCATTTAGCATAATGATAGAAAGGCTATGGCACATAATTAATCAATTAATCAATGAAATCAGCATCTTGTTATATAACAGTAACAAATACTTTCTGGGATACAAAAATTTAACTGTGTCCTATGCAATCAGTACCTTTGAAAATCTTAAGATGGCTCTCTCTGGTCAAAAAGTATAGTGGGTTGAGCTGGAGGAAAATGGGGTGGGTCATAAAATTAAGCGACACTTCATTAGGCCGCATTTTAAGCGATTTGAAACTAATATACAAGGAAATCGACTAAAATTTCATGTTATAAGGTACAACTACATTGAC